ATTATCTTATACCTGATTGGTTTGTCGATAAATTATAGTCTTGTCTATAGATCTATTAGAGCCAGACGAAATGTGTCAAGAACAGTGTTTACAAACATCTAAAATATGATGAAAAATGTGATGTAATTAATGTATGTGTTGAAACAGCATGAAATATGAAGTGTCATTTTACCACCATTTGATTAAATGACTAAAACAAAATTACTTTTCTCAGAAGATTGTCTTCATTACAGTATAACTACAGCTGCTAGAAAAAAAGAAGTTAAAAGCAGTTACAACTAAACAACTGTTTCTTCATCATCGTTCGTAGTTTAGTAATGTATTGTCATACAATTTTAATTTCACTGAATCAACTAGTGAATCAATCTAGGTGACTATTCTTTTTCTAGTTACGACATTTCATTAGAGCCTAAATGTTATGGAGTCTACTGATTTTTATTTGTTCTTCTGTCAAATCAATACGTACTAGTCCATGAAGCTTTATAAATTTGTAGTAACCATAATGGGAATAACTTAGTGATTTTATCATTATACTTCAACTAATAAGAAAAGAGAACCTGTACAAAATCGAGAACATTTCACAAGTTCTGTAATGTGATGTGTTAGAGGAAAGTGGTTTTATGGGGCTAATCAGTTAACTCATTCTAATATTGGAAACCTTTACTATATATTCTGGATCGTTTTTTTAGTCGTAGGTAAATGTACAGAAAATTAACTGTCTACCACAAAACCTTTCATAATAAATTCACTGATGTTTTGGCAACATAGGGATATGAGCCATCATATGTAATGTGTTGTACATGAACACTACGGTTTATTGTAGCATTCTCATACTCGTTATTCAATGGATTAATAATGCTTACAAAGTTTTCTACATGTTGTAACATACAAATTATAATCTCACATAACATTCTAAAAGTTATTTTCTATATTCTGATTGACTCGGCTATATGGGATAGTTACTTAGTTACTAGTTTCATTAAACAAAACAGTTTCCTGCATAAATTTAGTTTGAACCAGTGTTTGAGCATATCAACAACGATAAAAGCATAGTATACGGACGATCTTGTGTTAACCAATCAGAATTAAGGTAACGCCTCATGCATTTAACTTGAAGTTTAAAGTTCATTGAAAAATAACATGCCTGTTATTATTAACTAAGTGGAAATTGGAAATACCAGAATATGAATTTCAAACGGTAATTCAGCTGAATTACATAATATACCTGCTTCTTAGCCAGATTTTACGTTAAAATATATGATGTCGGTGATTGTGTAATCAAGTGTTTAGCGAAGTTGAATGGTAATCTTTTATGACACTCGCTCACAACCTCAACCCTGAGTTCCTCAAGTTTGTGAACAAAAAGATGGTAAATCGTTGAATTATAACTGATGTCAGTCCGTGTTTACAATCCAGACCCGAATTTGTTAACATAAATCAAAACTGTAGTTTAACTCTTAATGCTGAACTCTAACATTTTTGTGTTATAACTAATATTAGTTAGTAGAGAAGAGTCTTTGAGGTGATAATACTAGCCCAACTTTTAATATGTATTTAAATGTGTACCCCCCCCCTTTACGAAAAGAGATAATTTGACTTATGAGGTTTAATTACTACAATACAAGTTGTTATTTTTCTGTTATTACACTACTAGTTATTGTTAAATGTTTCATAACTAAGCAGTGTTTCTTGATCGGCTGATAAGTCACCGACGGTTGTCAGTAGATCATAATTTTAACTCAATAACATAGTGCTTCTGAAGTTATTCATTACCATAAATTGAGCTCATTGATGAGTGAATTTCATATCAGACTGCTTAGACAACATAGACTTATTATTATTACTGTTACTAAACTTTACTACTATGGAGACAATTTTATTTATGACATGAATTCTGATGTTTATTTAATTATAGAATCTTAATTAGTGTTTAAATTAGATATCAATTTACTTAATAAAAAATGATAAAACCCTTTTTGGATTATTTTATGTAGACAATTTAATTACATTTTTTGTATGTTCCGTTTGTAAAATGGAATTTGGGCGAGACTATAATTTATGGACGAACCAATCAGATTTACTATAACAGATCTTGGATTTTGGCGCGAAATTCATTCACCCATTTGGCTAAATAGAGTCTTCTGGTTATAGCTAATGTCAGTTCGTGATGAAAATCCTAAATCTAATTCCTAACCCTAACTATCAACTGTAAATCTTAATACTTATTCTTCAAACTACCGTAAATCCCTAATTTAGCCATAGTAAGTAAGTAGACACTCAAGGTCACTGTAGCGTCACTCAAAGGTTGTCCATAAATTATAGTCTCACCAAACTTTGTATCAGAAGAAGGTTTGTGGAGATTAAACGAATTTTACAATTTTTTTAAACTTTCACTAAACGCAGAATGATTTTCACTATTTGAATGAATTCGATAGATGTCGATAATGCAATGAGAAGATGAAGGTCTTCAGAATTATGTGATCTATTTGCGTAATACATTTCGAACAATCTGATCACATTTAATATACTTGTTAAAACATTTTAATATGAAAATTATAGAGGTCAACTAGACAGGTTAATGGTAAACCGTAACAAAGATGCTCAGTGCTGAGAAGTCCCACAATAGAGAACACCGGCCGTCCAGTGTTTCCAGGTTTTCCATGGTAGTCTAGTTTCAATTGACTCATGGTCTCAACTATTGAAATTACTATAATATTCACGAAAACCCCTTCTGGTATTAATCAACATATGCTCACTAATGACTGGCCTCATGATGTATATCCTGAAGTTCTAATGAGAAGCAGTGACCATTGGAATTCAACCGGGTCAGTTGTGAGATAGTAACTCAATGATGACAATGGTGGATGTGTTGCTCAATTTCGTTTATCAGTTGAAGTTTGACATTAACACCATTGGATGTCTGCCGGATCAGTGGTGTAGAAGTTAAACGTTCACGCGCGAGACTGATTGTCTTGGATTCGAGTCTCATGTGTGGAATGGTGGATGCTCACTGCTCGGTAGTCTCATACTAGAATGAAAAGGCTGTCCAGTACTTTCAGATTTTCTGTGGTGGTCTAGCTTTAATTGACTCATGAATTTACCTATCAAATTATTACAATCTCCAGAAAACCCCTTCTGTTAATAATAAATTACACAAAAACAATGTGATAACCACTCTGGATAATAAATCAGTATTACGAGTGTGAGTTAAAAGTAAGAACAAATATTTTTTTAACACATAATGGTGGCTTCAGTTTCCGTATGGCTAAGGCTTCAATAAACCTTAGTATACCTCCTTGAAGGCTTTTGTATAACACTACAAATGCTGATTTGATATCAACCTTATGACTTTTCTCAGTGAAATGTCTTAAAAAGTATATGTGTGATCAGACTGTTCGAAATATATTGCGTAAATATATTACATAATTCTGATAAACTACGTCTTCTCATTGCATTATCGAAATTTATCAAAGGGACTAACTGTTTTAACTTCATAAATGTATTTTAGGATGGATATATTTGTTTACTGTTTTTTTTAAGAAGAAAAACGTGATTTATTACTAATTGTATTAACTAGCAGAAATGTAATTGAATCAACGCTTCAACAGCTATTTGATAATCCTTATCGAATGAGTGATTTTTTCAATCATCTGAAAGCTATCAGATTTTTAAAATAAAACTGTTTGGCTTATTATTGATTAGATTTAGACAAGAGTTACAAAATGAGTGTTATTATTTCTTCTATGTGGTTAAGCCATTTTCATAATGCTTCAATAAACAACATGTATCAGAATGAAGTCTATGCCAATATACGCTTCAGTGAACAATACAAAAATGGTGTATTTCAAGGTATTAGTTATTAGTTAGTGAATTGATAAACACGTTTTTATTCCTTGCTCATTGTAGTTTAATACATGTTCTACAATAGAAACTATATGCAACTTTGATTATTATCATCACTCAACTTAAGTAATAAAAAAACAACTAATTTTGAAGATATTACTAAATAATAAACCCAAAAAATTAAAATAAAATGATCATCAAAAAGATTGTATCCATAATTTCATGTGGATGAGGGACAAGAAATATGGTTTTGAGAGAGCTTAATAAACTACTAAGAAATTTCGGTTAATTTTTAGCCAATCACAAGACAGTTTATATATGATATGGGAAACTCATGGAAAAGTATAATAATAATAATAAGAAGAAGAAATAGAAGAAGAACAAGCTTTACCACTAGTCCATTAGACCGATATTCAACGGTGGTAATATCTATCTTCAACAAATCCGCGAAGTTGCACCACCGTTCACTATTGTCTTCAGTAAGTTACTAGCTCACAGCTGACCCGGTTGAATTCCATTGATCACTGCTTCTCACTAGAACTCCAGGAATTCTATCTTGAAGCCAGTCACCAGTGAGCATATGACGATTATAATCAGAGAGGAGTTTTGTGGGTATTATAGTAAGTTAATTGTTGAATTCATGAGTTAATGAAAACTAGACCATGATGGAAAAAATGAACGGCCGTTTATCCTATTGTGGGATTTCTAAACAGTGTGCATTCATTTGACACTAAAACCATTGGATACCGGCCTAGTGGTCTAGTGGTTAAACGCTCGAGCGTGAAACTGATAGGTCCTTTGTTCGAATCTCCCTAGGTGTGATTGTGGATGCGCACTGCTGTGGAGACCCACAATAGGACGTAACTGCTTCCAGGTCTAGCTTCAACTGACTCATGATTTTAACTACTAAAATTACTATAATATCCACAAAACCCCTCTCTGACAACAAACTTTACATCCTCAATAAATCTATTAATTTTCGATTCACCATTACATGATATCCTAATTTTACACGTCAATATTTAAAAGCCATTTTCTCATCTTTACACACACACACACACACTCTCCCTTTCTTCCTTTCTCTCCATTTTTTTCGTTTCTTTTCTCTAACTAATTATCTTTTGATATACTTCTTTCTTTTTTGTTTCTCTTCATAGAAATGAAATCTTTCTAATATTACCATTTTTCAATCAATAAAATCAAATGAGAAATACTGAGAAATCAGAAAATTTATGGTGTTTTTCATTTATTCATTATTTAATGAATAAATATTTCAATTATAAAACTATGCAATCACATGAGCAATATATTACTTTAAAGCATAATAATAGTAGTGATTTACAATATAGAAGACAATCATTCAATGAAAATGTAGAAAAATCAAAAAATGTATTAAAAAAATCAACTACAATGTTACTAACCAATAATACTACTACTACTAATAATAATCATCAAATGAATATCAATACAACCTTTCATTGTAATGCGTTAGCAACAAATAATAGTTCACAAACATATAAATCAATTAAAAATCAATGTAATTCCACACCTATATGGAAATGTCCACATTGTTTTACTGAAATTCAATTAATCAATATACAAACAACACCAGATATTATTATTCAATCAAATCGATTATATCATAAAAAAATTCGTACAAATCCATGGATAAATAATTCTAAATATAATATACCTATTACATCTTATTCATATTCTAGTTCATTAACCGATAGTGGTATTTATTTATGTACAGATAATAATAATAATAAGAATAATAATAATTCACATTATGATTATATCACTCGATCAACTACTGAAACGGATATAAATAAAAATAATTATTTTAATATAAAAAAAAATGATATTCCTATTATACCTATATCACCAGATCCTCCACCATCACCAGCTCCAAAATGTACACAATGTATTATTAATCCAGAATGTTTAAAGCATACTAATGAAAATCAAGACTTATTCATGAATTCTAATAAATCATATAAAGGATTTTGTAAATCAGCAACATTAGATTTATCTAATTTCATGAATGATACTAATAAATCAATAAATAAACCAAAAAGGAAATTATTAACTAAAAAAGTAAGAAATCAAATGAGAAGATCATGGTTACAAACTAATACAGGATCAACATTACTTCCATATTTATCACCATCTATACATTTGAATTCATCTTCATCTTCATCATCATCATCATCTTCTTCTTCATCATCATCATCATCATCATTGTGTAAATCTGTATCATCTGAACATAAAATTATTCATTCAGCAGATGAAAAAAGTTCTTCTTATAAAAATAATGAAACTATAAGTATAAATGATAAACAGAATTTATTAAATCAACAATCAGATATATATGATGATATTTACAATACTACTTATATTTCGAATTCACAATCTATTATAGACAATGAATTGAATCAATCAATGATAAACTCTTTCATTGAAAATATGTCACCAGAATTGTTTAAATCAATGAAGTTAAACAATGATCTAAATTTCTCAACCGTTTATAATCATCATAATAATGATAATAATGGTGACAAAGATGAAGACAATTTCTGTGATGATATTCAATTGGAAAATTTACGAACGAATTTAAAAATCCTTTCTGAAGCTAAAAATGTAATCAATATGCAAATGAGAAATTTAGGTCAAAATTATATTAACTATTTAAAGAGTAAATATTTAATGAATACAGTGAAAGATCAATAAGTTATAGAGGGGGGGGGAAGATTATTGAGAGTTGGAAATTGATTAGAAAATAGAATTTTTGAAAAGAGAATAGTGTAAATTAATGCAATCAAGAGAGAAAGAGAGAGGGGGGGGTGGTAGTAGGTGGTTACCGGAGGAAATTATTTTATATCTAATTTCCATGGAAATAATGAAAAATGATTTAATTGATGATTTAATCAGTTATGATTTATTGTACATTGTCTATACATTATAATTTATAAATGTAGAAGAAGAAATGTCAAGTATGAAATTAATTTTATTTCTATACATGAAATAGATTGATCTTATAATTAATGAAGAACAAAAGATTTTTGTGTACACAATGTAAAAGTGATAATATGAATTATGTATAATGCTAACTATGAATATAAAAATCTATTTACATTCAATGTAGTTATTTATTTGACTTTATATTGGATGGCTTCAAGTATATCATTGCATAATGTAGAACTTCATATTTTGCACTCAACAGCAAGGTGTACCTGTAATCTTGAGGGAACTGGTGCTCCCTGGCAGCTTCGATCTCGTGTCACCCAGCTGCACAGTCAGAGACGTTACCACCGAGCTATCCGAGTCGTGATCGACCACCTGGAGGACTGAGATGTAATCACAACTGATTGATCACTGGGTGGCAACCAATGTCATGTGCGGCTCGGATAGCTCAGTGGTAACGTCTCTGACAGTGAAGCTGAGTGACACGAGATCGAATCCGCCAGGAAGCACGAGTTACCTCAAGATTACAGGTTCACCTTGCTGACGAGTGCCAAGTAGCACGAAACCCGAGTACAGGGTTTCCTGTCGACTACCTCCAACCACCATCTAAACTCAATATGTAGTGCCCGCAGTGTCGAGTCACCTAGACTGGTGGCCACATTGCAACATGATCGATAGTATTCGATCTGTACTAATAACGACTAAACACGCATGACATTGATCGTCACTCAGTGATCAATCAATTGTGACTTCATATTTCATTTTTCTTCATATATATTGACAAGAAGGTGATAATGTAAGCATAGTATATCTCACATATACTTAAGTAGTGTTAACCATACATTTCAGTGTTGTTGGCAAGTAAAACCTGAGATTTTATGATAACCATTGGTTCAATAGGCTATATATGTAGATAAATGGATAATAACATACTGCGTTTAATGGGAAACAATGTTAACTCAAAGTAGACAATATTATATTGACGTTATCAATATCAAACCCCGTTCATATCAAATCATGATTGATCGCTTTCTAATAAACAATGAATTTCATTTCGCTTGGTATTGTTTTACTTGAATCTTCCTATTGATGTTTTAGGACTGAAATTGATCAGTCTCTTATTGGCATATGTGCATACTGTGCGTATGCCTCGATATTGCCTTAATTTACAAGTATTATAAGCTTTTTAAGCTTTAGTCCCAGAGTGAACATCAACTCTGAGATGCAGGTACATCCAGCTGACGAGTCCCAAACAGGACGAAACGTGCGTCCTGTATTCCACTGCTAGCAACTACCCATCTTTGCTTATAATGGATTTCATTTATTTCAATTATTTAACGACAATTTACATGCTAATTGTAATTTCGAAAAGTTTGATACAAATGAAAAGAACGATCAAAATAAATCAATTAAATTCATAATTAATTTGAATAAACGTTTAAAAATGACCATTCATAACCCAACTAGAAATCGAACTCAAGAACTTTAAGTCTTTTGGAGTGAGTTTAAGGTTCAGACAATAATTTGACATCAAAAAACTTACGTTTTAGTTAATTATGCAATGCTGATCCATTATCATTAATGGTACTTATCTTACCTTAAGTATATCAGTCAACTGAACTCAGTCTATGAATTTAGCTACAAGTTGTTAGATCTTACTGCTATTCCTGAAATCAAACACCCGCTTTTGATTCATGTATGGGACAAATGCATTCTATTGTGAATGTTCAAACTCAAATCAGTTTCTTGAAATTACAATGAATCATCGTTTAAGATTATGAGGCTAAATAGTTATTAAAATGGTCAACTAGCAGACAATTATTAATGTGGAGAAGATTTGTAGCTCAGGTGGATGATTTTGATAGAGTTTTGTTCTCTGAGCTTGATGGTTTTGTTGTGGAGCTTTCGTCTTTCTCTTGAACGACATCATCAGCACAAACTTCAGATAGAAGTGAAGCGCTCGAACTTCTCTACATTTGGTTCACAGTTTGTCCTGTAAACCACGATGTTGATTGGTTCTTGTTGACCTTAAACCTGTTATTGTTTACTTTTTTGTTTTGTTTGTACAACCAACCGTTATTAATATTCAGTGCATTATTTCGATCAGTGTCTTCTGGCATATATGTTTTTCTGAACTAACGCTTTGATACTGACTTTTAGGCATCATCTAAGAATGGACACAGACTTACAGACTAATCTTAATCAAATACACAATATTAGTAATCGGTTAATAAAAACATGTGCTAATCAAACAATATTCCGTAAACTCCCTAGTTCTAACTATGTATATAAAACTATAACGAGAGGTCAAGAGATACAAATAGATAGGAATAGTATTCATTTGAAATTCATACATCCCACTAAATGTGTATTATTCCATAAAATAGTTGATTGTGTAAATTGATGATACTTTGAATGTCCTAAACTGAAAGTTTATAGCTATTTATGGATTCATCTATTTATTTATTAGTTCTTGTATTTATTATCTTCTACAAAAGTTCAAGTATGTTTTTATATAAAGTACAAAATATTCAGGTAATCAAGTGTTTAATACGAATAACTGTTATTTTGATTTCAGTGTGATTTAATTTATAGTAAACTGTTTTCATAAGATCGATGAAATGATGATTAAGTTTTTTTGTAGTAGTTTAATAGTTGAATTCCTGGGTTAATCAAAGCTAGACCACTATGGAAAACTTATAAGCACTGGACGACCCTCTCGTCCAACTGTAAGACTCTTCAGCAGTGCGCATCCACCAATACACCCTGAGGAATTCGAACCCAGGACCTATCAGTCTCATCCACGAACGCTTAACCACTACACCACTAAGCCTTCCAGCATCCAACCGGTGTGAATGTTTAACTTAAACCACTGCACAAATTGCACAACCGTTCACCATTGTGGTCCTGCGAGCAGGATCATGGATGCCCACTGCTGAAGAGCTCCATTCTATGACGACACGGCCATCCAGTACTTATAGGTTTTCCATCGTGGTCTAGTTTTAATTGACTCAATTCAACTATTAAATAACCATATTATATGTCTGTTTTTCATATAAGTAGGCACCATTTGATAAGTGGTAATAATAGAAAGAATTGAGTAGAAAAATCTTACTAGAAGCAAATTGCAAGAACAAGCAACTTTTGAATCTGGACTAAATATAGCAAATTAATTATGTTAAAATATTACCACATAAAATTTAAAAAAAACAATGTCTAAAATACCGTTGATTAAACAATATCCCAAAAATTATTCTGTTAAGTCTAACGCTATCCTTGGACCTGAGATGGTGTCATTTCCTCATTCGTCAATGTTTATTTCACGTGTCATTTTCCTACTGGTCAATATTGTACAATGTTATTTTCTATTTTATGGTACGATGTGGTCTACTTGATTAGTATATAAACAGAGTGTGTTTGAAATATAATGATTCATATCTCGGAGGCTAAGACTTGCGTTCTGGACTCAACTGGCTGGGCTGGACAGGGAAGCAAGGGGCAATCAGAGCTCTAGGTCATTCATTACGTGTTTTATTTGTCATTGAGATCGGTCGAATAAAACGCTGCGCATCTAACCTGCAGTCCACACGTTACAACACAGACATTATTTACAATCAATCCATTTTTTATATTGCTTGTTTGAATCGTCCCATTGAAGTTTACGAATGTTATTGATTAGTTTCTTATTGGCATCTGGTAGTGAATATCAACTCCGAGATTCAACCACATGGATTCGACGTGTTCTAAGTGGGACAAAACTCACGTTCTTGATTCCATTGTTAACTGCCATCGATCTTTGCTTATCATTTACATTTTTTTTCAACGAGACTATTCAGTTGTAAATGTCTTATTATACACAATAGGTGCTTATGAGTTCTTGTGGATTTATTGGTGTAAAATAATATTTCTTTGACGAAAAGAAATAGAAAACATCATTATAAGTCAATAATAAGAAACGCATTATAGATATAAATCGACGCATATCTGTATGGTTAATAAGAAATTGAACAGTTACTTAATTATCAGATGGGGCTTTGTGGAGATTTTAGTAATTTCAATAGTTGAAATCATGAGTCATTTGAAGCTAGACCACCATAAAAAACCTGGAAGCACTGGACATCCGTTTTGTCCTATTGTTGGACTCCTCAGCAGTGCGCATCCACGATCACGCCCTCGCGAAATTCGAAACGGCCGTCCAGTGCTTCCAGGTTTTCCATGGTGTTCTAGCTTCAATTGATTCATGGTTTCAACCATTGAAATTACCTTATTACCGAAGATCTTAGATCTTATTGATATAAATGTAGTTTTAAAATTCTAGAAAGTTAGAAAGACTGTAAAAAAAAGAAAAAACAAACATTTTTATGCAATTGTCACCGTTCCCATAGATGTTAATTTTCGTCGAATATATAAAAGGAACAAAAAATGCTTCAGAAGTAAAGTCACTTTATATTTCAGACATTTTTATTCCGTTTTTTTTACAGAAGCAAAACTATTCAGATATAAGTGAATACAAAGTAATTATGCTTTTAATGAAAGGCTTTTAAATGTAATTACTTATTTAAGTTATCACGTCCCATTAAGCCAAGAAAATCAGATTTGCGAAAAATGCATAAGTTGGTATCAAAAGAACAAGAAAACATTCGTAGAAAGTTCGAAAATTTTAATTGTTGTAATCACAATTGATTCATCATTAGGTGGTGATCAATGTCATATATGTCAGGTCCTGCTTAATGTAGATCGATTGCTTTCGACCATCTTGTTGAGGAGTTTCAAATAGCACAAGACCTATTGTCCAGGTCTTCCTGTTGACTACCTCCAACCACTATCTTAATTGTTGGAATGACAGATCATGATTTGTTTTTTTTCGTTTTTGCTATTACTGGAATTTATTTTTGTTCAATCTTGTTATATCATCTTTTTGTAAATTTTAATAGTTGAGACCATGAGTCAACTGAAGCTAAACCACCATGAAAAACCTGGAAAGACTGACGGCTGTTTCCTTCTACTGTGGGACGTCCAGTGCTTCCAGGCTTTTTATGGTGGTTTAACTTTAATTGACTCATGATCTCAACTATTAGAATTACCGTAATGTCCACAAAACCCCTTCTGATATTTCATGTAAATGACTTGAACAATATTTTCTAATGTTTTTTGGTGAAAAATAAATAATTATGCT